GGTGTTCAATGAAAACATAACAACTGCACGAAATACTAATTTCCCGACTCCCTCCGATACCTCTTGACATCTTCAAATTACACTAAAATATTATGGGTAATTTCACCCCTGTGAGAATCACTGAGCTAAATGAATCTTGGTCAAAGACTGAGTTGACGCCCTTAGCAAGTTACTCTCAGATTGAGGTCAAGTATAGTCGGAAACCAGACAACGACTAAACTTGAGTTGCAAGGAACTCGATCGTTCGGGATTACCCTTTGCTGTGTGTCTCATAATCGGGTTAACTTTATGATTTACATCATATCAGATTCACTGGTGACTCGATGAGCGCAACACGTGCTCTTACCAGAACGCTGTCAACTGATTCGAGTGCTAGCTGCGGTACTCGCATCACGCCGCATATTGCTGATGTGGTGTTCGATCTGTACCGTAACCCTGACACTGATACACTCTCACTTTACAGGTTACTCAAGGTGTGTCATAATAGTTTGAAATCTATGAGGATATTTTGATATCATCGGAAGTTTTGTCGAGATTGATTTAATTCTGCCTTGGTCATCAATGCACACCATTTTTTAAATGCACTTTGAAGTTTTTGAGTTGATATTATGAGTGCTTCTTGAGGGATGTTAGAGGTAATCGTCGACTCATCAAACTGCAGTTTTGCGATGTAATGCTATGAACAGCAATGATCTGAAATGTTTCGATGCAATGCAATGGTCATTTTCCGAAGCAATGTGATCTCATCTGAAGAGCATTCTTTCTGAGAGAACGTAGCATTTCCTATTGTGAATGCGAATTAAACAACGAAATTTTTCACCAGTAATGTTTTCTCATTACCAAATGGAAGCAATGAATAATTCATATTCGTATTCGATTCGCTGAACAACAACAGCAACTGTCATTTGCAGTTGTTGAAAGAGTGCGGAATCAGAGAGGATGACCCACGATTGGCCAGTTTCATGAAGGCAATCGCTCTTGAGGAAAGGCGTCAATCAGTGTCTGATATGAAGCCATCTGAGTTGTCGAATAATCTCGATCGAGACACATTCAAACGGTTTTTTTTTCTCGAATGTCTTAAATTATTGACGGCTCCCTAATAGTTCGAAATTCAGCGTTAATTTCTGAAATGGTTGAAACTTTTATTATGATGCGAATAGATTTCGTTGTTAA